TATGTCTAATCAACTTTATAACGAAATGAATGAAAGATTACTTTTACTGTATTTTTTTTCACCTTCTCATAGTTTATTTTTTTCTCGACGTCGTGAGAATAAGCAAACACAAAAAGATGATTGTGCCACTTGGATAGAAGATGAATGCTGATTTTTTTCCATAAAAACTAAACATTTAAAATTACCATGTGCATAATTCACACAACATTATGCCAATAACACGTAGACTAATTCAATTATTAAATAAACAAAAGCTCTGTATTCTTCTATACGAAACGATTGCCCACCTATTTACTTAGCGTCAATATTGCGATAAATAGAAAAGTGCACATGAATTGTCCGTAGTTTTAATGACAACGTTTGTCAATATAAAACCATATCCAGTTCCTTTTAATTTATTAATATTTACGGAAGATCTTTATATGTAGTTGAAATTGTTTCCATTACATTTATAAGATCTTGCGTGCTGATTTATCAGTTTTTTTAGTACGTTTTAATTTTCTTGATTAAAATTTTTCTTCAAGTGCTTTCTTAAAAACAAAACATTTTTATATAAATATTTCTTTTGAGTTTTAAGTATTTTTCGTTCTTTATATGAAAAATATACGTTAACACATTCGTCATACATCAACGAATTCTACAATTTAAGAATATTACTATGAAGTCATCATCATTGCTAAGAAATAAAACTATATTTCGTGATCTATTTCACTGGTATGAAACATTTGTACAGATTGAAAAAATAGAAAATCCAACTGCACTATAAAACTGTACGTAACCAGTAAATTAATACACAAGCAATAATTCTTTTTTTGTTTGACCTTGTCATTGACTGAACTTGTGTTATTTTTGTGATTATGTACTTTCCTTGGTTATGTCAGACTTCTCGAAAAATTTCTTCTTTTTTTACCTTTGTCTCGGTTAAAAAAAACAATAAAACTTAATTGAAAAAAATATTAGAAGTACTTTTCTTCGTCGTCTGTCGTCCATATCTGATTTTTTTCTGACAACGAAATCAATATTATTATTTCTTTCTATTAAGTCACTAAAATCGTTGGACTAGTGAGTCAAATGAAGTACATATATTAACATTACTTCTTTTCAAATTTCTGACTGTACGACATAAATGAGAATTGATAATGTACTTCAGAGAATTTGTTATTTCTATGTATCATGAAATGGTACAAAGAAACAAAGCTATCACTTCAGGTTGTCACTCTTTGTAGAGATATGAGAAAAACGAATTTTATTGAGTAAGAAATGACGATTGTATGTTTGTTCCCTTTAGATATGTTCTACAAAGTTCTATGATATTTCGAGTATTATCAAAGGAACTTCATCAAACAATAAATCGCCTCTGTATTCATACGTCGTCCATCTTCAGTTAGAACCTTTGTAGTGGTTCTTTTGAACAAAACTCTGTGGACACACTCAAATCATCTTTAAAATTGACTTCTATTTTTAAGCTTATAGCCGTGTAAAATAACCTTTGAAGGTGATCTGAGTATGAGTATAATACTTTTGTAAACAACTTACAAATAAAATAGCCGTAACTGAAGAAGACTGATTCATGAGCACAAATCTTTTCTACAATTTCTTGATTCATGGGTGTAACGTCTCGCTGGTTTTGAAAATAGTCCTCAAAGGGCCTCATTTTTCTGTGACTCAACCACTTTGCACCCCCTGTCTGCCTTTAGTGTTGAGTTACGCTTCTGTCTCTAGTTTCAATAGTGCCTAACTTTGATATAGAAAAGAGTAACATGACTGACATCTATCTGATAGTTGAATATTAATGGTTGGTGTTACTGTTGCAAACAAAGCAAATAAATAATGGATTCAATGACTCAGCGAATTACTTCGTTCGATCGAAAAACATTCAGTTATTCAAGATAAGATCCTAACGAATTGATTATTCGTAGTTGTAGGGCACTTGTAAGACATAACAAAATTAATTTACATATTTATTAGGCTGATAATTTTTCAATAATGGTAAATGAAAGAATATTCTATTTGCCTATTTAATTTATTTAATTTAGCTTGTTCTTGTCTTGGGTGATCTACACATTCCTTATCGTGTTAGTGGTTTACCACATGAATTTCGTAAACTTTTAACTCCTGGTCGTATTCAACATATTCTATGTACTGGTAATTTATGTACAAAAGAAACTGTTGATTATTTGAAAACTTTAACGGCTGATGTTCATATTGTTCGTGGTGATTTTGATGATGTATGTTATTCTTTTAATATCGAGCATATTGATATGATTATCTGATAATTATTTAGAACCCAAATTTTGTTGATCAAAAAGTAGTTACTGTTGGTCAATTTCGTATTGGTCTTTGTCATGGTCATCAAATTGTTCCATGGGGTAAAAACCTTTGATAATTTACAGATAATTATCTATACAATTTTCTTTTTATTCTTGAAGGTGATATTGAAAGTTTAAGTATGCTTCAACGACAAATGGACGTTGATATTCTTATAACTGGTCATACACATAAATTTGAAGCATTTGAACGTGATAATAAATTTTTTATTAATCCCGGTTCAGCTACGGGAGCATTTAATGCATTAAATAGGTTCGTTTTATGAAAAAAAATTTTTTTTTCTTTGCTACTTAATTATTCTTTTAATATGTTAAGTTCAACAACACCTTCATTTGTATTAATGGATATTCAACAAGCATCACTTACACTCTATGTTTATCAATTAATTAATGAAAAATTTACTGTGGAACGACTTGAATATCGAAAAGCTTAATTTTTGTTTTCTTTTCTTTTGTTCTTTTGATTAATATGTGATTTATTGTTGTTCCTAGTCGATTCTAAAAAAATATGTTTGCATTCATTTGTATTGTGTCTGTAATTTATTTTTTTTTCCTTTTATATATCGATAGAAATCATATTTAAACGTTAATCTATATTCTTCTTCTTTCTTCGTCTTATTTCTAATAGATAAGAAAAAAAAAAAGAATTATGTTAAAAGATTCGAAATTTTCATCACATCTTCTTCATTTATCACAATTACAAATTATTAATCATAAAACTTTGGATGAATATCGAGATCGTTTAAAAACATATGAAGTGAAATGTTTTGTTTTTCTTTTTTTCTTGAAATTAATTTGAGTTTGTTTTTTTTTTGCATAAATAAGGATTATCTGTGGTTTGGTAAACCTGATCAAATATCAGCTATTGAATGTTCACGCCGTGGTTGGGCATGTCAATCAAATGATTTGATTGAATGTGTTAATTGTCATGCACAAATTTTTGCTCAATTACCTAGTGTTCTTAAAAAAGAACAATGTAAGTTATGGAAAAAAAAATAACAGAAGAAATTAGGATTTCATGTTTATTTTTTCTTCGTAAATTTAGATACGGAATGTATAGAAAACATTTGTCAATCATTAGTTAATTCTCATCATCGTTATTGTGTATGGAAATTTATGATTATACCTGAATCAATCGTACAATTAACAGATATTTATTCAAATGAAACAGTTAATAGATTATTAAAAGAAGCAGAAGAATTTTTATCACATATAAATCAAATTGATATTGTTGGTCAATTACAGACAGTTTGTTTCATAAATATGAAATTTTAATTTTTTGTTTTTACATTTTTTTACTTTTAGATATTTCAAATTGAATCAACAGATTTTGATCTTTTATCGAGTTCATATTTAAATGATCCTCGTTTGATATCAGCTTTTAAAATTCGTGTTTTTTGTTGGAAATTTAATAATTCATTATTAATTTGTGATAAATGTTGTCGAGAAATTCGTATCAATATGAATCATTTTGTATTTGATCCAATTCTATCACATCGTGCTTGGTGTCCAATTTTAAAAAATAATCAATGGAAAAAACGAATCGAACAAATTGAAAATATTCTTTATAAAAAATCACGAAATAAAATTAGCGAAATAAAAACAAATAACGATGTAAATATACTAAACTCGAGACAAGTTTTTGTTTTGGGTCTCTAATCTGTATTCGCTAATCTTTTAAACTGAATTTATTGTTTTTAAGACTTCGTTCTAAAAAAAACTGTACCCATATGAATAGAGAGACTTTTTTTTTAAATCTCTATTACCATTCAAAACTTCACAACTACCACATGTATTTGATGAATCTCTGGAAAGAAAAGAACATAAGTTACATTTTGGTAACTAAAACTTCTTATAAGCTGATTGTCTATAATGTAATGTGCTTGTTTTAATACAAATAACAAATAATATTCATTTAAACTCCTCACAATACGTCTTTTTCCAGTCCAAATATCACCTTGGAAACGGTGACAGGCACTGCAAACGTTTCAAGAAGTGATCTCTCAAAAATTGATAACATCTGTCATGAAACTTTAAACTATCTACTATCTTATATAATGTCTGACTCTCTTTCGAATGTTGTTGTTGGTAGTAAGATAGGCTTATTTCATTATAGACAATTCACTTTTATCTAGTCTTTTTTTTAAATAATCCACTTTAAAAGATTGTCTAATAGAAATTGACTACTTCCGATTGTTAGATATCCAATTATACTATGACTCAACATTTAGGAGTTCGATTTTCTATTGATATAGTATAAATACTGACTTTACCTTTAACTCAATTAAATTAACAAAAAAAGTCATAGAAAAAATTTTATCTAGTATTATATTTAAATTAAAAAGAAAAACAATATCTTTCAATTTTTAGCACACAACAGAAAATATTCTTCCTGATATAATATCAACACAAAATCTTTTTCATGAACTAATATCAAGTAAAGAATATTATCGTTCATGCGTACAAAGTACATTTGATGACAATACATCAACATCCGATATGGATCGTACAAATAATGAATCAATATAAACCTAAAAATTTCTTTTTTCTTCTATTTTTTGTTCTTTTCTCTATTGTGGTAATTCATAGATCAGATATATTTATAATAATAAATAAAAAAAATGTATACATATATCTTTTATTGCTCATTATATGTCTCTTTATTGTTATAAATTCTAGAAAAATTAATGTCGACTGATGATAAACGATATTTTCAACGTACATTACATTATTTTCCAAGTATTGAAAATGATGCATCACGTATTACATGGGCACATGCTGTTAATAGTCGAGAAAAACTTGAGGAAGTACTCAAAAGTAAGTGTTTCAATATGAAATATTTCAACAATTAAAAATATAGCTTTATTTAATAGGTCCGTTAATGTTTATTGAAGCTGATATTCTAATAGGTTCGTCATCAAATGATCCAATCATGGCTCATCCACCACATAAAACAAGTGATTTGACATTTGCTGAATTTCTCAACGGAGTTAAATCAACAAGTAAAGGTTTGAAACTTGATTTTAAAGATATCAATGCATTACAACCATGTCTCAATGAATTAGAAGCACAAAAAGATAATGTTAGTCCATTAAAAATTCATCTTATTATGTTGAATTTGATTTAATTTGTTTTAATCTTAGATTAATGGACCTATTATTCTCAATGCTGATATTGTTCGTGCGAATTCACAATGTGCACAACCTATTGATGCTCAACGTTTCCTAAGTGAAAGTCTAACATTTGCTTTTCGTGTAATACCACAATTAATGATATCATTTTCACTTGGTTGGACAACAATTTATGATAAAACAACAAATTCATATACATGGTCAAGTGTAATTGATATGTATCGAACAATAACACAAAATGATAATTATTCTTTATTTAATTTTGAAATAACATTTCCTGTTCGTCTTTCATTAGCACTTAAATCATTTGATCAACTTCATTGGCTTGCACAAGTAACTAAATCAGGTTTAACATTTTGGTCACCGATTAATGAAGTTGAAAATATACAAGAAAATTTAAATCGTTTACTTCAATTTCGAACATATTTTAATCATTCATTAGTTTATTATGATTTACCACCACCATTTGATACTTTAATAAATGAAAATTTTTATATACAAACTGAAAGAGAAGACGAAAAAGATATATTTCCATCAATGAAAGATTATTGGCATACAACAACGGGTCAAGAAGATAATATCTTAGTATCAGACTTTAGTGCTGTTCTATTAAAATCTAATGTTTTTTTACGTACAAAACAAACATTTGATTCAACAGTTGCTTGTACATGGTCAGGCACAATTGATTTTCTTACTGATGCATCATCACAAACACAAGCTGTTCTATGTTATTTAGCTGAAACTGAACGTACATCAAAAGCAGGTAAATATTTAAGGAAAATCCCTATCTTCTTTTGCCTACTTCTAGTTTTTGAAAAGGGTACGATTGATCACGCTGAAACTTTTATCATAGATATAATACTTAAAATAAAGAGATAGATACTCAAAAAAAAAAATTTCAAAGTGAGTTTCTCGTAGAGCCGTATTCTGATACGTTATGACGTCCATGTAACTCTGTGTGATTGGATTGAATATTTTACTAGAGATATTTGAAAATGTACTCCAGAAATACCTCTGAACCTTTACGTATGTTTCTCATTAAAAAGAAAAAGAACGAATTAAAAGTTCCGAAAAAGTTTAGAACTACCTGTGAGATATGGTCTATTGAAAAACAAGCATTTCCACATAAAAACTTTATTGAAAATTGTTTCCTCAACCATGTGTCAGCTTATTTTAGGTGTTCTATCCGTGGTCAAAAAGTGACGATAGGATTGAACCTTTAATTAATTTATAAAAAAAACATGTTTTTTTTTTCGTTTATAAAATATTTAAATAGGAATGACAATAACAATTTCAAAATCAGGTTCTGTTGAAGTAGTTTATGAAAATTCGCAAGGTTCATCACAAGTTGATGAAAATTTTGTTTTTCCAAGTTATTCATATGCATTTCGAATTCAAGATTCAATATCAACCGTTCATATTGACATATCATCACTGGATATCGAAAATGCTTCATTAACATCATCAACATTATCATCTGTTTCAACTTCTGTTCAATTGACTGTTTTTTTAAATACAAATCATCGTCGTATAACATCATCGGATGAAAATAAACAGTTTCATGCTGCTGTTATGGGACAAAATATCGAACAAATGACATCCACTGATAATAATCCAACTGGTGGAATTGTATTTTCTCGTTTACGTCTTACAGAAGAATCAATATTTACTAATTAAAATGTACATATTTCTCTAGTCATCAATATCTTCCTATTCTTTTTTGTTATTAGAAGACTTATTCTAACAGTATGTACACAATTTTTGATAACATATGTTCTGATAGTTCAGCTATTATTATTGTGTCCTATTTGCTGAATATTTCTTAAACATGAATGAAAAAAACGATTCATCTGCGAACAATAAACTAATTTTTTCATGTCTCATGATACGATTTATTAAATAGAAACAAGTATATAATAATATGAAAAATAAAATTAATTCATCTGTACACCACATTCTCTATTTAGTGCCCATATATTATATGAATATTTTATACTAAAACCTATAAAGAAAATCTACAAAAAAAAAACAATTTTTCAATTGTTATTTCATTTCATTTAATCAACAGTAGCAGTTTCTTTCTTTTCAGCTTTTTTACGTAATGGTTCATGATGATCAGTAAAATAATAATAATTTCCTTCAGTAGCTTTATCACCTAAACAAAATCTTAAATGTAAACGCCAGCCACCTTGAGGCCATGATACACCATGCAAAGTTAATGTGTCTAATTTAATGGATACATTTTCATAAGGTTCTAATATAGTCGGCTCAACATCACGTGCTTGACCATGACCTGGAAAGAAATGATTGCCTGCATCTGTCATAACAAAGACACTTTCTTCCCAAAGAATTTTTTTTGAGTGACTATCACGTAATAATGCAGGAATTTCAACTGGTCGATTACTATTATTTGTTACTGTTAGTTTAAAAACACCTAAAATAAGACAATATGAATTTGATCAAAAAGAAAAATGAAGACTTTCATTAACACACCATCACCATCTGGATTTTGATATTCTTTTGTATGAGCTGCTTTGACAGGTTCACATGCAAGTGAAATATCATCAGTTGTAATAAGTAATGGTCGACCACTTTTGACACATTTTTCATAGCTAGCAAATCGTTGATTATCATACCATTTAACATGTTGTGCATGAGAATGTTGCCAAGGACTTTCATAATGTCCATTCGATTGTTTAGTCCATCCTAATGGAATTTTCGATGATTTAATTAATTGTTCAATTGTATGATTATCCAATTCAACTAATGTATTTATATGTTGTCCATCACTCGAACATGCTAAATAAGTCAAACCAGCTGTAGGTTCTTTTACTTCTTCTTGTTGTTTTTGATCTGATATTGTTTCTGAACCATCAGGATTTTGAATAACGTGTGGAAGAAAATAGCCTGCACCACGTTGATGATAACTAAACTCTGTTGTTGAGACTGAACCACGTAAAGTTCGAATATTTTCCAATCGTAATCTATAATGATTTATTGGTGGCATTGAACGTGTGGACATACCAGGAATAACTTGATTTATAGTACCAATAAATGCAATAGGTGTTTTAGCCAAATGTTCAAGTGCATGTTCTTTACTGAATACCATAACTATGATTGGTAAATAAGTGAATGTTTCTCTAAAACGAAAATAACATTTGAAGGCGGGTATATATATATATAACCTTCACAGCAAGGTTAATGAATCAGAAGAAAAGAAAAACTTTTTTTTTTGTTCATACTTGTTGTCGAATGGAAGGCACTATATTTGTCTTTTTTTTCTTCTTCTTCTGTTCTAAGATTTCTAGATATTTAATAGAATACTGTAAATGACACTTTCGGTTCTGTCGTATTTATAGAAAGTAATGATTTATGCAGAAAAAGTATGAATCATCCTGTTATAATTCTTTTTTTTTGGAGGCGTAATAGAAGTAAAAAATGGAAGAAAAAATGCTCCTGTTTCATTTTTGTCTACAAATTGTAGGCGGTAGAAATTCCGTATTTTCAAGATAAGATCATTATATTACGATTACTTTTATTCATATAGACTTTGTAATAATATAATAGATGATTATACTGCGTATATTTTTTGGCATTATTCATCAATAGAATATTCTCTTTTCATCGATTTAGTGTCTAATCTATGTCAAAAGTTTGTTGTTTCTCTCCTGAATCATAATATTATTATTTCTCTTTTGATAAGGGTTAAATCAGAGATTTGTGAAATTTACTTTCTATTTGATATGAATAGAGCAAAAGCAAAAGCAAAAGTTTTATAACAAAAAAACACAGATTATGATTTTTATTGAACAACAAAATATTTTGAAATATAATATATGACATAATGAATGATTAAAGTTTTACAAATATATCTAACTCAATGAAAAACATTGGAATTCATTTATCTGTAAATGTAAAGTAAGAGTATAAATTTGATCTAATATTACTTGATTGTTTACGTAGCAGTGATTTGTTAGAGCAAGTATAGTGTATTTTTGTATGCATCGGTTATCCTGAAAACAATCATTTTATTATGTTAGTTGATTTTGTGACACTAATTAACAAGAGATCGATGTGTGCAAACTTAATCAGAGTTACAGTAGTTTAACACAAAGATACTAATATGAAAACACAACTAATGAAACGAAAAAATGGAACCTAGTACTACGACACGACTCCTTTTTTGACCAATGATACACTCTGAACACTACACACCAAACATTTAGTTTTAGATATTGCATGTGAATTTTCTTCACTTCAGTATCTGGAATTGTGTTTTTTAATAAATCTATTCAAATGAAAAGCAGCTCCATCTCAGCAAAAAGCATTCACTTTGTTCTCATCATCTACCTTGTATGGCATTAATAAGAGACACATATTACGTCATAATTCGACAGAGCGTCGTTCGTGATCTACCAATATAATTAACTTCACTGAGATTTTTTCCATAATTTTTGTATATCTTCGAGAACCTTTTCGTTTTTCGACAGAACCATTGTTTCACAATGGTCTTCGATTTGAATTCTAACTTCTGTAGGCACCAGCATTTTATCTGACAGATATTGACTAAAACTTTTAATGAATATAAGATCAAACTATCGGAAAAAAAAACTTGAACATTTGGTTGATTATCAATCAGAAGAAAAACATTAAGTACAATCTTTTTTTTTTATAATCAAAATCTTTAAGATGCAAAATAAATCATGATCAAATTAAATTCAATAGATAGTTACCCGAAAGTTTCTGATGCTACTGTCCATTCATATAATTATGTCATGATCAAATATTTCCATTAATATTTTCTGCTAGCTCTATCTAATTTTATTAGAAATCGAAAAATCATACTCAACTTCTTAAAAAAATTTAGGTTCTTTTATTAATTAGTTGTCTGCTTCATGGCCGACTTTTCATTGAGAAAAGCTTCCATATATTGATTAACTTCATCTGGTGCATCTTGTTGTACCCAATGTGATGCATTTCGAATTTTCTTTAATCGGACATTAGAACAATAGTTTTGACTAGCATCAGCAAGTTCTTCACCTAAAGCGCCATCTTGACAACCCCATACAATTAATACTGGTACAGTTACTTGTACTTGTAAATCATTTCTTTGATGTCTGAATGCAGCACGATAGTAATTTATTGCCGCTGTCGGAGTTCCTATATTAATATGATAATCGAAAATAAATATGAAACAATTTATATAATTACCTTTTTGAGCAAATGTATACGTATAAACTTCTAGATCATCTTCTGTCATATTTTGTGGATTGACCAAACCGATTCCTTTTGTATAAAAAAGTCGTTTAAAAGTTGCGAAATCGTCCGATGCAAATAATAATTCAGGAATAAATGGTATTTGATAAAAGAATATATACCTGAAGTTGAAAACAATAACTGAATATAAAATAAGAATTTTTAAAAAATGAACAAACCATGATTTACGAAGTTGTTTTAATGATAAATTATGTCGAAAAGCAGCTGGATGTGGAACGTTCATTATAATCAATTTGTCAATTAAATTAGGATAACTGATAAATAAAAGATGAATACAGAAAGAAAAATTAATATACATACAGCATCGCACAAGTCCATGACACTATAGCTCCCCAGTCATGACCGACCAAAACACATGATTGGTAACCTAAAAATATCAAACAAAAAAAAAAAAAAAAAGAAACAAACCAATATCAAGAATACAAAACTTTTTAATCTCACCAAGTTGTTCAATGATATCAGCAATATCACGAGCTAATATTTCAACTTTATAATCTCCAACATTAGACGGTTTTGAACTGAGACCATATCCACGTTGATCAATAGCAACAACTCTTCAAAATAAATAATTAATGATTGCTTTTTATATTGATTAGTTGAAGAAGTATACTGATAATTTTTTGAAAAATATCTCATTTGATGTCTCCAAGCATACCAACATTCAGGAAAACCATGAACAAATAACATTAATGGTTGATCTGATGAACCTTTTGAAACATAATGCAGAGTGACATTCGATGACTAGAATATTTTTTTTTTCAAATCAATTTAAATATTTTGAAAATTGTGAAAAAATAAAATTACTTTTAATTTAATCATTCCCTGTTCTCCATAAACAGGATCAGTTGCTTGTATTGGTGGTGTAGGTCGTTCAACTCGTCTGAAAAACTTTTTTGGTCCAAGTCGAAGAAAAAGTAGACAAGTTAAGATAGTACCAAAGGTACCATAAACACATGCGAATATTATTTGACCGATTAACATCAGTATCTTAACCATGATTGGTGTGGACGCCATTGAAATAAAATCTAAAAGATGAATCAAATTGAAAACAACAACTAGAAGTTGCAATTACTGTTGCTCTTTTTATCTTGGTCTTATATATCACCTTGATAATATCACCACAATAAAATTCCCTATCTCTCTTGGTTAGGTTAGACAAAAAAACTAAAATAAATATTATTTCTCGAAGGTCAAAGGATATGTTACAAATATATGATATAGTCTTCATGCAAACTTCTATTGATATAGCTAACACGCATCTATATACATCGTTTACGACAGAAAGAAGAAAAAGCTGGATTTATTAATTATTAACGACATCTATCGGTAACTATCGACAATTGTATTTGACCAAGTTGTGGTTCGTTGATAATAGAAAGAAAAATGAAAGTTCAAAAGAGAAATAATATAGACCATACTTATTGACTGTAATTTTAGATTGATTGATCTTTTTCTTATTAAAATTAAATAATATGCGGCGTAGTCGACCACGTTTCTCACCTTGGCGTCAAAATCGTCCACCATATCAACAATCATATCGGTATGTAACAACTTTATTATTCAAAAATAAATATTTTATTTTTTCTTATAGACCTCACTCTTCTCAATATCAACAACAAGGTCAATCAAGTGATGTGTTTGATTTTCTCAACGTAGGTTTAATCAAAAAAATAAAAAACTAATTCATTTCCTTCTTCTTTTTTTGTTTCATTTCTTAGCTACCAGAATCATTTCCATCAATGAAACAGCTTATTGACGATCCAATCTTAACTCCAGTAAGTTAGTTCTTTTATTTTCTATTAATCTATGAAATTGTATCTATTTAGATTATTATGGAACGTATTCAACAATTAACACCATCAGCAGCTGATAGTTTTGCATTGATGAATTTTGTTACACGTGTTCGACAAAAACTTGAAGCCCTTGTTCTTTCACCACATTCATTTACTGCTTGTGTATGACAAATTTATCATAAACTATTTCACTTATAGAAAGATCTTTTATTTTGTTCAGCAAATAAGTGAAGTACGTGATGTTGGTTCGCATAAACATAATACAATAATTATTCCATCAATTGGTTCTCAGTCGCGTCTAACATCTGATCTTGTTGTGGTTCTTAAAACACTTCCAACAAGTATGTTCAACATTTCATATGTTAATTAATAAACAAAAACACACTACTTTATGATTTCATGAATAAGTGTTAAGAAAATTAGAGAAAAAAAATCGAAATTTAATTTATATGAACAATTTTTTGAATTACAGTATACGCCAATCAGACGAAAAAAAATTTGAAGTCAAAAAACCTTGACTTCACAAGGATCTATCTACTGTTCTCTTTCTTTTTCTCTTAGGAGAAGCCATAGAACAATTAGGTAATCGTTTAAAACAAGATCTTCAAAATGAATATCAACCAAATGAAGAAGCATGTAAGTTTTTATATAAAGACTGAGAAAATGAAAAAATTTATTTTAAAATTACAGTACTTTCGATTCAATCTACTGATTATGGTCTTTCACTTGAAAATGGAACAATGGCTGTACATTTATTATTAACAACATTACCAGCTAATTGGCATACACTTGATCCAACAATACATTTAGATCGAGCTATGTGTAAACGTAATTTTAATGCTACAAAACATGCAAAATGGGTTGATGAAGTTTGTATTCATCCATCAAATAAAGTTCTTGTCCGTTTATTAAAAGATTTACGACAACGTTTTCATGGTCTTGAACCACTTAATCCATGGTTAATTAATTTACTTGCTCATCATTGTGTAACAAATAATAATTCAACTGAACAATTACCACCTAGTTATGCATTCAAGTAAAAACAAAACAAGATAAAACTTTATTACTTACAATCAATAAAAAATTTCTTTTTTTTTTTCTCTAGACGAGCATTACAACTTTTATCAAGTGGTCTATTTTTACCCGGTTCGAATGGTTTATACGATCCATTTAGTGATGCAAATATGCATCCATCTCGATTACATACAATAATGACATCTGAAGAACAAGATCGTTTATGTTATACAAGTCAAACATTATTACGTGCTCTTGCAATTCATCCAAAATATGTACTCGGTATTGAAAATGGACCAGATATATTTGCTGGACCATGTCAATTGAACGGTGTTTTATTTGTACCAAATGAACCTGTTGTATTTGATAATGAGTCTAATGGTCATGCGTTAAATGATAGTCAACAACAATCAATGTTTGTTGAAGTCAATAGTTAAATATCATTTGAATAAGATAGATTTAAAAATTTATTAATAAAGACTAGATCTATTCTATTGCTAGTTAACATGATTAATGTTGTTTTGTTTCTTGTTATATAATGAAAAGTGACGATTTGTGACTTGATGAATTTTTTCCTTAAAACAAAAAAAAAACAAATATATGCAAATGGTCTTGCTCTTTGCTTCAATTTTATATTCATTCATATGAATTTTCTTTTGTTTCAAAATCTCATTCATATAAAATGATATTAGTTAGGATTTTATAATTAGTTAAATAGCTACAAGAGTCTAAAGAATATAAAGTTATGATAATATATATACATTATTTTATTTTTCAAAATGCTTTCATTAATTAACGTGATAGATGAGAAAAGATTTCGATTTTTGTTTTCTAGATCATAATGAGTCATAGTGAAAGTACTAATAATGACGCTGCTACTAGTGTCTATCGCTTCCAAGCAATTGATAAAAAGTTTGAAAGCATCGATGGAAAACAAAATCGAGATTGTTTGATTAAATGGTAAAAAGTTTTCATGTTGTTTTTTTGTAATATGTATATATGACAATTTTATAGGGGTATGCGTGGAAAATTACGAGCATATATGTATATATTTGATCAACCATTTCAGGAATATAATGCTCGAAAATTTATTTTAGTAAATATTATTATTATTATTCTATCTAATATTTTATATCTATATATAACATATATATATTATAGGAATTTTTTAAAGATCCTAATGTTCTTAGTACACTGAAAATGTTTACAAAATCAGGTGAATGGCAATTACTTGGTCAATCAGTACATGATGTTCGTATTGAACAATTAAATACAAATATTCTTTCATTGGAATTTTTTGATCGTTTATTTGACAATAAAGTTGTACGTGAAAATGGAGGATATATAAGAAAATGTATTGAAGAATATAAAGATGAATTTATTGTTTCGGATGAACTTCGAAAAGTAAAATTATATTCTACTTATTCAATAAATTTATAAATTTATTTTAAGGTTTTAATTATGGATGAATTTGAAAATTATGATATGTTTTCTGAAAGTGATCGAAAAGAGTTTATTTTTCAGTAGGTGATTTATTTCGATTTTGTTTGTAATATGTATTGTGTTTATTTTTCTTTATAGTTTGTTTAAACATTTTTGTCTTGGTGGACAAGTTTGTCGTAAGTTATTTGATTGTATAAAACAGATAAAAAGATTCTAAGAATTGGAACGATATGTATGAGTAAAGTTAAGCACTAAAAAAAACGATTTTTTGCATCTGCACTCACACCCCTACAATACATTACTCGATCACGATCAAATCGGTTTTCTTTTCTATGTTTTTATCTATACAACAGTTTAACAAAGTAAAACTAGTCTTCTTTTCATTTCTATTCACAGCCTATACCGTTGTCTTTTCTGTGCATGTTTAATTTTTCAGTGCTGAACATTCTCATGTTTATTGTTTATAAGTCGAAAATTTCTATACATTCTTCTTTTTTTTTGTATCGATAGAATATGAAGATGAGATTCAACCTTATCTTGATGTAACGAAATCTGTGTATAAAGAATTAGTTAGCGTACAAAAAGATGCTGAAAGTCAAAAAATTCAAGTTATTTCACCTGTTTTTAAAATTGAAGCCTTGGTAAGTATTGTAAAAGAAATTACAATGAATATAAATCGGAGAGAAATTTTCGTTATGTAATGAAAATTTCAAAACTTAATCATTTATTACTAAATATTAATATTAGTATATTTTGTAGAATGAAAATGGTAAAAAATTTTATCCTTCTCGCACAGCATATGAACAAGATTTTGTTTATATGATCATTGATCCGATCAAACGACATGTTATTATTTTATCAAATTTTTATGAAGGACCTTCATTTTTTGAATAAAAAATAATAATAATTAGTTTGTTTGTTTGTTTTTTGTTTTCTGTAAAACTTTCATCCGTCCATACGGTTTATTGTTTTTGTTTCTCAATAAAGGAATGAATTTGTTTAAGAAATGCTTTCGGTCTTTGAGGAAATGTGTCAAAATCACAAGCATATAAAAATGCAGCAGTATGTAACATTTGTCGTATTAATTTATCAATCATCCATAGATCAAATTTTGTTTGTTCATTATTATTTTGTTTAATTCGTCGTTGAACAATTATATATAAAAGTTTATATAGTGAAGAAAAATTCATTCCTTCATTTGCTTGAAGTATTAATTGACAATGTTCATACCAAGTATCAGTCATTATGGAACGACAATCTTCAATACGATGTTCAATATCATTAAGTGTTAAACATAAATGTTTCCAAATACGAAAAATATTAAATGCATTAAACCAATTATGATTAATTGATATTGTATAACCAATATTTGTTACATCATGGTACCATTCTGATGGTACAAATAATATATCACCAGGTTGTTGTATAAATTCAATTGAATATGGTTTAGAAAAGCGCCATCGTTTTTGACCACAAATATTTGCTGACCAAGAATATGTACCAAGAACATCCATATGTACTGGTGTATTTGTTCCATTACCACCCATATAAACAAAACGAAAATCATCTTCATTTTCTGCAAGACATTTTTCATTAAGCCAATCTGATTGAAAATAATTTGGAACGGTATAAAATAATGTTTTTGTTTCATCAGATATTTTTTGTAAATGCCAATCTTTACAATAATATTCTGATGTTGTTTCATTATTACGCCATAAATTAACAAATTCATCAAAACGCATATTTAATTTATTTTCATCTGTATTATATTCTGTTATATTCGATGAACATTTTGTCACAGGTACAGTCATATGACCATATAAATTGATCAATCGATCAAAATCAGGTTCAGTTTGATCCTTATTTAACCATTCAGTAATACATGCCCATTGTTTTATGAGACCACATTTAGCTGTAAAAAGTGCTGGTCGATTTTTAAGAAAACACTCTCGAATGAATGTTTCATAAGTCGGTGGTTCATCATATTGAACAAGACTATTTTCATTATCATTGATATTTGTTGTCCAATCTTTTGAAATAAGTTCATTATATATATCAGTATTATTGGTATTCATCTCGAAACAAAAAAACTTATTGCACATTATCAATACAAAATTGAAGAGAGAAAAAAAAGAGAAGGCACACGTACACACAGAGAGATACGCATAACATATATATACAACAAAAAGAAAAGATGTGAAAAATGGAAGTCAGATTTTTATTTATTTATTCACTATCATCCCATCGTGATGATTCATCATCATTCTCAGATTCTGATTGTGGACGGATCTTATCACGGCGATATTTTGCTGCTTGTTCCATAATTGCCATAACATTAAGTGATGTTGTTTTAGTTGTTACTGAAGCTTTTTTTTCTTCTTCTTTCTTACGATTATTCAATTGAATACCTAAGTATAAAAAATATGATTTAACCAAAAAAAAAACTTGTGTTTATTCTATTACCTTTTTTGATTTCTTCTAATAAATCCGAATGAAGATCACGCATAATATATGGTCTTTGATCTTGAATGGAAGTTTCCGATGTTACAGAAATATCATCTCTTTGAGATGATGCTAAATTATTACTATTGGTACTATTTTTGATTTTCGTTGAGTCCTTTGTCACCGAAGGTTGTATAATAATTGAGTGAATCGTAGAATTAGGTAGAGGTGGTGCCAGTGGAATAGTTGATGACATTGAAGGTGGTGGAGGAGGAGGTGGTGGTGGTGATGGTGATCGTTCAATAAAATCGGCTGGCGGTGGAGGTAAACTATCAATTTCAGAAATTGTTGCTAATGTAACCATACCCATATTCTGCTAAAGAAACCAAAGTTAGATTAAAATTCTTTTAGAAAAAGAAAGTAATGTATACCGGTACGATAGGTGCGGGCGGCGGTGGTAGAGGAGGAGGAGGAGGAGGTGGTGGGGGTGGAGGTGGACTAGCTGATGGCCTAGCAATTGTCTGTTTCATCATCATGTGATGCAACATAGGATTGTTTGGTTCGAATTCAGATAATAATGATGAACCTTGTTGAGTAATAGCTGATGAATGAACATTAAGTTGAGGTGATTGTTCTGTATTATATCCATTTGGTGTATTAGATGATAGTTCTGGTGTAGTTGTACTAAAATTCATTGTCATTATTTGTTGTTCACGAGTTGATGAAGATGCCGATAATGTTAGACTACCATATTGCATTAAATCTGAACGGTGTTGTAGATGATTATTATGTGAATATTGAAGAAGTTGACGAGAATTTGATGGTGAATAGATCTGTTGTTGTAACCGAACAGTATTCTGTGCGATTTGATCAAAATCATTTCGATGACGAATCAGATCTTGAGAACTACGATATTGATAATGTTGTTCATCAAATGTTTGACGAACAAGACGAGATTGTGAAGATGATGTTGGATTTAATGCATAAATAGATTCTTGTTGTTGATAATCTTTCTAATAATTTAAAATATGATAATCGATATATTGTTCTGAATGAATTTTACCGGTGATCGACATCGTTCATGTTTACCAGATCGATGACCATTATGATTTTGTGGAAATTGTATCATTGATTGCATCCATAAATTAAAAAAGAATGTTGGATCTGTATAAAATTTCATGGAATCTCGGCCATCATCCCTGTTAACCAAAAAGAAGACTAACTTATTAACTAATCAATTAGAAGATTATATTCACAAACCGATAAGGATTAAGTAAATGAAGTGCCGGTGCTGGTTCAGCTTGTTCATAGAGTAAACGAAGTGATTTTGGTATCGTTGCACGATTAACAACTTGTTGATCAATACGATTAATACTAACAAATGGTTTTCGATTACTAACTTCTTGTATAGTTACTAGAAAAAAAAAATTTATTAAAATAATAATAATAATAATAATATCAAATAAACCTTCTTCAACATTTGAATCTAATTGTGTAACTTTAAGTTTAAGTCTTTCAATTCGACCATGTAATGCCTCTGTACGTTGAAATA